GGGCCCGGGGCCGGTCCGCCGCGCTGCACGAGGCTCCCCAGGGCCCGTCGCAGCGCCCCGCGCTTTCTGCTCGAGATGAACTTGCGCTGCTGCACGGAGCCGCCGAGGCGGAGGGGTCGCGGGCTCCCTCCTCGCCCGGCTCTGAGGAGCGCCCCGGCCGGCTTCGGCCACGACCTGCCCTCAGCGGGGACAAGAGCTTCGCTTCGAGCGACCGTCTCCCATCGCTGTCAGGGAGTCACCCCCCCGCTCACACACACACACGAGTATTAACACACTCGTTAATACCGTCCTTTAAGACTAAACAAAGCATTCCCAGAGACATTTATATATGATATATGTATATATCATATACACATCAAGTAGTATATCTATCTATCATATTATATATGTAGATGTAATATAGATAGATAGGTAGATAGATAGATCTAAAATACGATGTACATAAAATATGTATATAATATATAAATATATACACACACAGATGCAGTCATATATATAATGAATTCTATACTCGATTATATAGTTATTATATTTTATATAATAAACACAGATATACATATATACACATATATCATAAATTATATGGTAGATTATTTATTATGTTTTATATAATAAGTTACATGCACAGGTATATACATATACATATATCACACATTACATGGTAGATTATATATTATATTTTATATAATAAATTAAACATGCATATAAATATCTATCATAAATTATATAGTAGATTCATTTATTATATAAAATATAATATATAAACACACAGGTATACACATATATCATAAATTCTATAGTAGAGTATATATTTATGATATTTTCTGTAATAAACACACAGATATACATATATATCATACATTCTGTAATAGATTATATATTTATTATACTTTATATAATATACACATATACATCTATACATAAATTATATAATACTTGATATATTTATTACATTGATATAATATATTAAATATGTATCATGCTATATGACAACATGGAATACATTCATAATAAAATAATCAATCAATTGAATCAATAAATTAGATGCCCAATCCATAGTTCATCTTTAAATATATTTAAATATAAATATAGCCATAGTTGGAATATAAATATGTTCTTCTGGACGGGTTAAGAAACTTCATTGTTCAGGAGAGTGCCCTCAGTAGAGCATGTTCCCTGAGCTCCTGTTCTAGTCTAGGACTCTGGTTTGTCTTATTAACATATTGATCCTGATGATCACATGAAATGAAATATTTATCCCGATTCTCTACCTCGAATGGCCCGGGGCTGCCTGTGCAGCAGCTCTCGTAGCCTTGGCTTGTGAGAGAGATGAAGAGGGAGGCAGCAAGCACCCAGCTCTGGCTGTGGCTCTGGGTTGAGCGGGATCTGAAGACATTATAGCTGCAGTGACAGAGAAGCTGGATCTGTGATGCTATCAAACCCAGCCAGAAAGATTCACAGCAGCTTTCACTCCATTTCCCCCTCAGTGTGTCCTATAATTGAGGGGTTACACATGTTGACAAGAACAGATAGAAAATGCCACGCTGGGAAATGGGCTAGTAGTGTTTTAGAATCCTTCTCAGGGAAAAATAAGTGAAATTATTGGAGAGCAAAGTTTTCTGCAGAGACAGAAAGGGGGGGAGGGGAGGGGAGTGGAGAGATGTTTAATTTGAACAGCTTGTTGGTGGATAATAGGACCGTGCTAACAGAGGTGGCCAATCTCATCAGCAATCAGTCATTTTTATTTCAGATTGGAACAAGTAAGAGGGAGGGAAGAATGAGTTTTCCTCTTTTAAATAATAAACTAGCATACAGCCAGACAGTGAATGCCTCTCCTACTGATATTTACCCACATGAGTAGTCTTTATTTAGCCTGGAGGAAGATGGCATTTCATGGTGAGTGCTTCCTGAAGGAACACCACGTTACAGCTATAAAGCTGTAGGTAGCTGGGAAGCGTCCTGCCTGAGACAGCACCTCTCTTCTCATGTTTCTCACATACAGGAACAATCATCAGAACCGCTCCAAATGGTGCCTCCTTTCTTAAACCAAAAAGAGGGGGCCGGTGGAAATGTCTTGCAAGGGGCTGTCAGCAGTAACTTCAGTTTCCCACTTTCAGAAATAGAGCTACTTGGTGGTTCTCAGCCCTCTTAGGCTGACTTTTTGAAAGGCTCAAGGCACACCCAAGAAAATGCCAGCTCTTGGTTTTCACTCATTTTTTGACAACAATGAAGTAAAAGAGCAATTCTTCTGTTGCAAAGAACTCAGAAAGGCCACAACAGCTCAGAATTTTTTATCACTAAATTGCTATATGGAAACTCTAGGTTTCTCTTGTGAATTATATTTGCACACCTAATAGTGTCAACTGTGTAGTATTCTGCAACACCTCTGAAAGGAGCTCAAGGCACCCCAGGGTACCACAGAAGCAAACATGAGAACATGGCTTAGGTCTTTTAGCATTCAGGTCACACTGAAAGGCTCATCTGCGGGTCAGCCTTCTTTGAAAAGTTAGTTTTACTGGAAGTGATCTGCAGCAGACTTGCATACTTGTCGGTTACTCAGTTTTACCAGTTTATTGAAAGGCCTTGGCCAGATACACTTTATTTTTATTTTGAATATTACAGTAAAGCTATATATTTAAATGTTTCTAACATTATATGCTATATCCTCATGCATTAGAGTGGGCTTTATCCAGTTAATCAATTTTGTCAGTGTAGAGAATACAGAAAGTGACATCTTTTATTGCTCTTTACATCAAAGTGACCCATGACAATTTTTTCAAGGGTCTCATTTTCAAATTCTAGAGCTCAAGCCACATTGAATTAAAATGATACTTTGGCTGATAAGTTACAAATGCTTTTGATAACTGTATTTATTGGTCAAATATGAAATACAGACCTTTGGTGATGTGATGGATGACTTCTTTGCAAGCTGTAAATGGGATGTTTGTTAAACCCACTAAAAACTGAAGACACCTTTTACAAATGTTTTATTTGAATGATTGAGCCAAATTATAAGGCCATGTTAAAGCAATACTCTCCTGGGTGAAAATTTTATAAGTAGTCATTAAAAGTGACAAAATGTAAAACAAACACACCAAAAAAACACCCCAAACTATTTAAGCAGTAAAAACTTTCTCTCTACCTTCCTGCAGGGGCAACGCATAGGGGGTGCATGTGGTGGTGCACCCCCTACAAAAAGGCACAGCCAACACAGTCAGCAGTGCCTGCAGGTGGTCACTGCTTGGCATCTGCGGGCAGTCTGTGATCCCCGCTGGACACTGCCGACACTGCTGGCAGCATCTACGGACAGTATCCAACCCCTGGTCGGCGCTTGCCACCCTCCCCCACTTACCGCTGCCGTGCTCCTGCTGCCATCCCCCCACAGCCACCGGAGACATGCATAGTTCATGACTTCCTGTGTCTTTAGTGACACTAAGTGTTATTAATTTTTAATAATTAATTCTTAAGGACTTGTTGCTTGCTTTTTGATTTCAAAAAACTATATGAGAGCAAGCCTTTTGATGGGTACAGCCAAATATAAAAAGACATAGTTCTTACATTTGGCAAGTAGCACAGCTCCAAAAAAACCCTGATTATGACAGGTGAATCTTAGTGCATCTACCTCTGAACTCAGTATTGTGTCCTGTTGTAATAACTTTGAACGTAAAGAGCACTATCAGTGTGTAATTTCATAAATATTTCTAAATTTACTGGCACATGTTAATATATATATATATATATATATATATATATATATGGCCGCCGCCACAGAGATACTCCCCTCTACTACTGCCTGCTGCAGGCTCAGGCAGGAGAGCTGGCTCCCCACTGCTGCGTGCGCTCTCAGGACACAGTGGGGACCTGCACTCCCCAGATCTGTGTGGGGGTAGGAGTGAGATGCCCACTGTGGGCTTGGGCACCCACCCTGCTGCCATCCCCTGGGGCCTCCTTAGACCAGCATGTGCGACCCAGTGCTGCAGGAACAGCAGAGTTGTGCAGGAAAGCTATTTGCCACTGTGAGCTCTGTGCTGTCTTGGTGATGCATCCTCCATGTGAAGTGGGGGAAGTGGCATGGGTGTGTGCTGCTCACTGCAGCCCTATGTGCAGGGGATGCATCAACAGCGGCGCTGGGTTGCACCCACTGGGCTGCAGAGGCCCCGGGGAGGACGGAAGGGCAGAAACCTAAGTCTGCAGCAGGCAGTGCACACCCACCCCACACAGATCTGGGGGTGCAGGTCTCCCCTGTCCTGGTGACATGTCCTCCATGTGTGGGACTGCAGTGAGTAGCACAACCACACACGGCTTCCCCTGTTGCCCCCGCACATGGAGGATGCATTGCCAAGGCAGCGTGGAGCTTGCAGCAGCAAGGAGATCCCTACGCAGCTCCGCTGTTCCCTGCCATGCTGGGTCACACACACTGGGATACAGGGGCCCCGGGGGGGGCAGCACGGTGGAAAGCCAAGCCCAATGTGATCAGCCTGCCCCAACCCCCACCCCACGTACAGATCTGGGGGGAGTGGGTCCCCTCTGCCCCTCAGTTGTGCACGTGGCAGCAGGGAGCTGGCCCCACCTCATGCCCCCCGAACAAGCCACCTGCAACCCTATCCCACACC